ATGTAAGACCATCGTGCTAAGTGAAGTAATCCAGGGGCAAAACGTTCAACATGACTGAGTTTTCTCTTATATGATAAACCTAAAAATTTTTAAATGGATAAACTAGAGATGCCACAAAACTAGAAGGTGGACTTCTGGAGATGGGGAAATGTGTAGGGGATGGGAAGGAAAGGGAGAAAGGAGTAATAAAAATTTAAATAATCAGAAGAATAAATGCAAGTACAAAATTCCCACAGAATGAAACTTACCATTCTGTACTGCTAACATGCACTAATTTGAAAAAATATAATATTGGAGGTAGGGGGGAGAAGAAAGAAGAAAGAAAGAGAGAATTGCAAAAATGTGTCAGTGCTCGTGGAAAGTTCAAGGTTCAGAAATGGGGAAAAAAAGAGAAGATTTCAGAGCTGTGTTTATCAATTAGACATGTTTATTTGTAGTTAAACCAAAAACCGCAATAGCAAAACTTATTTGGTGTTTTCTTTAAAAGAAAGCCAAGGCAAGTGGGCTCAAGTTTGTTCAAGAAATCAGTACATTCATAAAAACATCTTGTTTTTATCTTTAGATTCAGCTACTACTTTGAGATGTTCTCTCAAAATACTCTTAGATGTATTGACCAAGTGTCCTGGATAATAATTGGGTACAGAGATTCTCACTGAGGAGCAAGGACAGTCATTAATTTCTGATTCTTAAATCCTTCACAATCAGGCATGAAGAGCAGTGCACTTTGAATCATTTGTTAGTATTCTGATACCATGAGTTACCACCTGCAAGTCATAGTGAAGAAGACAGTAGAGTAGAAACAAGATTAGATGAATTTATCCCACAGAACTCTTAACTTTCCACTAAATGTAATGAAAAAAAAGCACTGAGGGCAAATCCCAGTGTCACATGCTACTAGAGACATAAAGAAGAGTTGGACAATATAGAAGAGGAGCTAGTGCAGCACCCAATTCACTCTAGTACAGGACACAATGGGAAACGTGCCACCCAGTCCTTAGGTGGCAGTCTTCAGAGGCTGATTGGAGAACCAGGAGACTTTTGGATGAGATAACAACTGGATTGGATTTCACAGAGTTAGTAGGATGGAAATGTAAGTTGGAGCAGAGGGGCACTAAAAGTTATGCCAAAACGTGGCTACCTTGGAATTGACACATACAATGGATTTCAGATGACAAAATTCAGGAAATTCAGTTGGGAAGAGTTTAACAATCTGGAGGAGCAGAGTGAAGAGTGGAACTTGCCCTGGAAGAGTTAAGACCAGACAAGGAAGGGACAAAATCTCCAGCCTTGGAAGCCAAGGGAATGTGCAGGAAAAAGAGGAGAGAAAGTCAATGACCGACCTTAGCAATCACGGCTGTCTCAGCAGCACTCTCAATGGGAACGTCAAGGTCATTAGGTGCCGCAACCAACAGAGTCAGAGGAGGAAGACGTGGAGAGAGTTTCAATTTGAAAGGTTAGTTTTTAAATGTTTGCTGAGATGTAGATAAATAAAACAGGCAGATATTTGGAAATGTGAGCCTGTAGTTTGAGAGAAAAATAATGCAGGAGGGTGCGTCTATATACATGGTGTATTTAAAGCCTAGAGAATGGATGGGATAGCAAGGGTGAGAATGCAGAAGACAGAAGGCAAGGGAAGAAGATGCCATATATAAAAACCTAGAAATGCCAATATCTAGAAGGAAGATTATGTTCTTCCCACATTTATTACACACATAGAAGTTACTTGAAGGCAGTGAGTGTCTTGGTTACTATTGTATTCCCAGCAGTGCATCTAGTGACACTTAATGAGCATCACTGAATCCACAACTGAAGTCAAAGTAAAACATAAAACCAGAATGAGAGACCCAAAAGAAACTAGGTAATGCAATGTCTGTATGAACAAGGGAAGAGAGAATATTAAGAATAAAGAGTCCATGATACCATTTCCTATTTCAAAATGACAAAGAATGAAAACTGAGAGAAAGCTCTTGGATTCAGCAATTAGCAATCCATTAAGCATCTCTGAGAGCAGGTTGAGTAGACTATAATAGAATGGTCAAGGTAGAAACCCCATTGCAAAGGGTTATCTTGGAACAAGCAGCTTTAGTTTTTTTAAAGTCCAGATAAGAAAGGCACTCTAGACTTTAAAAAAAAAATTAGCTTTAGAAGGAAGGAAAGACAGGATTCGGCAGAGTCATACGGTCAAGGGAAACCCAAAATATATTTATAGATGTCAGTTAGCCTGACAGAAGAAAAAGGAACGGGTCAGTTCTATGGTAAAATAATTCTGGAATACATTACTGTTTACAAAGGTAAACAGATTTCATAGTGTAGAACTTCTTGGGACCTATAACAAGCTACTATGAGTTCTACATATTCAAAAGTAAGTAGGACAACTAAAACTTACTTTAAAAATGTTACCTTTTGTCACTGAATACCTATTAAAATTACTGTTAGGTAGATAAACCTTGGGAAATACGACTTAAAGAAGGAGAACACTTTGTAATCCAAGGAAAAAGAGGATGTAAGACAGGAAAGATTAAAGAAGCACAGCAGAAGGGATGCCTGGTTGAAAAATGTCTCAGAAAATGTGAAGAAGAAATCCCCTCTGCTCCCCTCCCCCCAGTCAGGTGGCAAAGGGAAAGCTTCCCCTTCCTCAGCTGTCTGGGAGACATGAAGAGAGACAGTAAAAGAGGTCAACAAATTTACAGAGAGAAATATAAGGGAATTCATGGCAGCACACTTTATTCTTTTCAGAAAAGAAAGGCTCAAGTGCACAGAAAGGACAAAAGGAAGGGTAGACTGAGAGGAAGCGAAACAAAGTCACAGGGGTCCTTGGGGCCACCAGAAACAAAGAAACCATGAAGAAAGGAGGCAATATCAGTTTCAAAAATATGTTTTAACTAATTACCCAAGTTACGACTACACATAAGCTTTGAACTAAAATGTCACTATAATGGAAATCACCCCCATAGATATGCTTGCATAAGTCTGTAATTATATATTCAAGGTTTCTCGTTACAGCATTGTGAACAGTAGCAGAAAATTTTCACAAACACCCCTAAGTAAATTAATTGATGATAGTTAATAAATTAAGTTATATCACATCAAAATACTAGGTAGACAGACAATAAGAATATACTGACTTGGAGTGCTGCTTTAGACATCTTATTAAGTGAATAAAACAAATTGTAGAATAATATACTATGAACCCATATGACAAAGTGTGTGTTTGTGCCTGTGTGTGTGTGTGTGTGTGCAAAAAATATCTGGTGGTTGTACATCAAAGTAGTACATATTTCTAGGATATGGATTTGTGGGCTGGTAGGAAAGGGGAAGTTTTTACTTTTTGCTTACTATCCTTCTGTATGGATATTTTACAGTGAGTACACATCACACTTATCATGGTTATGGTTTGTTCCTTCCCAGACGTGTACTCCTGAGACCCTCCTCCTATCCTATGCATAACTGTCTTCCAGTTCCAAAGAATCAAGCCAAGCTTGTGCTCCCCAGCTGGGCAGGCGCTCCTAGATGTGAGGGACTCATGGAAGATAGACAGCCAGCCTAAATTTGCTGGTAATTCACTTTGGGACCTGTTTGTGGGTCTTTGAACTTCAGACCACAAAATTCTCATCCAGCTCTAACTTTGATTCCAATTCAAAGCAAACTAGAAAGGGATATACTGGAACAATCAAAAATATTATGTTTGGAGGAAAAAAGTTTTAAACTCTAATAATAGCATAGAATGGTTTCCTGGAACATAGATGTGTTTATAAGTGAAACCAGATCATTTGCGACTTAAAACCAGTGTAAATATAGATTTGGAAGTTATTGTTATAAAAACTCAATTTTCCTGAATTGAATTTCTATTTGATTACTATTTCTGTGATAAAACCATGATTTTGTTCTCAATTTTTATTCTATTTATTTTCAAGGGAAGAAGAAAGTCATTGCTTGAAATTTATTTTTTTGAAAAGTCAGTTAAAATTTTCCCCTACAATGAGCAGTGTAGATGTTTCCTATAGCCACTAGGGGTCAGACTACTACATTAATACAAGCCAAACCCAATTTGAAAAGTATTGGTTGAGAGGCATGCTAACATTTCTCTGCATAAAAACAGAAGACAGCCTATTTAAATTAAACATTAAATAAAGAAGATAATGAGAAAGAATGAATTTCACAAGAGAGACTGAGAAAGTTGAAACTATCATATATAATAAATACAATATAATAAAGAAGTTTCATCCGTAATAAAAATTTCAATTATTCACTTGCTCATTCTGGTTGGAAAGATATTACTCCAATCTAAGTGGGCTCAGATTTGAGGATTGATCATTCAACTGGACAAATGCTAAGACAGCAGAAACAACTAAAATCATGAAACTGTCAGCAAAAGCAAGAAATCCTCATTTATAAAGGATAGGCTGTATGACTAGCAGAGCATTGAGATAGATGGCAGAAACACATTTCTAATGGATTTCAGCTATGGCCATAATAAATCTGAATCATCTTACGGCAATGAGCACGTGCAGGAGTGGGCAGAAGGCAGCCCTTGAATTGGCCTCTGTTCCAGTCTGGCCTCTGCCATAGACTGCCCTGCTGCCTTTGAATAAGCTCCTTTGTTCTTCTTGGTCTCAACATATCTTCAGAATGAAAAAGTATGCAATAGGTCTTTATCACAGTTACTTTCTTGTTGCTGGGACAAAATACCGGACACCCACAAGTTAAAGAGGTTTACTTTGTCTCACAGTCTATGCAGTGGTTTCAGTCCATAGTCAGCTTTCTCCAAGGTGGCATGGCAGAGGGTCATGGCAGAGGAAAAATAGTGCAGGCCATGATGGCAAGAAACAGAGAAGGATCAGTGGAGAATGAGGGGTATATACACCCTTCCAGGCCATGACCACAGTGACCACCTCTTCCCACCAGGCTTCACCTCCCAACATCACACCCAGCTATGAAGCCATCAGCAGACTCATCCAGGGATGGGTATCACACACTCCTGATCCACTCACCTTCACAAAGCCCAGCCTATGGATGCCTGAGGCTCTGGGGAACATCTACAATGCAGTAATCTTCAAGCCCTATAATTAAACCAAAATATTCAACAATATTATTATAGAGAATATAAGAAAATGAGGGCAAAATTTTAAGTTAAAAAATTGAAGATGTTAGCTGCTGAGACATGTTATTACAATCTTTCTTTCATCAAAAAAGTGGAATAAACTGAGATCATGGACTATATCCACTGTCAAAGTAAGAAACCAAAAGTCAAACTTCAATTTATTTATATTTTGATGACAGTGTTCCAAAGAAAGTAAGCATAGTGAAAATATTTGCTGATCATTCTCTGGAATGATTTTTTTAAAATTGAAAGTGGTCATCTATTTGGGATAGGCAGAATTGGATGGATGTGGGTAGGGTAGATGTAAAGACAAAAGCTGTATTTTCTTTATAAATTGTTTTACTATTTCTACCCAGGTGAATGCATTATCTATTTGGACTTTTTTAAAAACTAATTTAAGCGCACTTCAGACATGGGACAAAAGTACAAAATCAAACACAATTGAGAGTTAAAAAACCCCATGATTGGAATGTGGGTTTAAAATAACATGGGAATGTCTGTTATTACTATGAATGAGTAATAAAACAGGAATACTTTGTTTCAAGTGGACAGCATCAAATTCCCTCAATCAACTGGGCCACCTCAGAATGACCAAGTCTAAGAGGTCCATCCAGCCCTTGAATCATATGGGCCCTTACCCTCACTGAACTGCCTAGGCCTTACCCTCTATCAAGAAAGACATTAATTCAAGAAAAGGGAAAACTTTCTCATTCTTCATAAGCACACACATATGTAGAATATAAACATAGGCAAATAGAGAGGACCACAGGCAGATCAGTTCCACAAACTGCTAAACCCCCGTTCATAGTCTTCTGACATACAGCTTTAACACAATTCCTATCAAAATCTGTAGATATAAGCAAGATTAATCTAAAATTTAATATGGAAATATGAAGGAGCTAGAATAAACAAAACAATTTTGAAAAAGAATAAGTTGGGAAGAATCAATGATCATTTCAAATTATTATATAACTACAGTAATCAAGATTGCATGATATTGCTAATGAATTAGACAGGTCAATAGAACATGCAGGTCAGAACCTAATATAGACCACACAAATATGTCCAGTGTACTTTTCACAAAGGCAACTGAATAGAGAAAGGATAACCTTTTCAACAACAGTGCTGGAGCAATTGTACATTCAGAGGCCAAAAACACAGACTTTGGCCTAATTTTACACATTAAACTCATATTAACTCAAAAAGGATTAAAGACCTAAATGGATCTGTAAACTTACAGAACTTTTAGGAAAAAGAAAAGAGAGAAACTCGTCAGAATCAGGACTAGGCAGAGTTCTTAGACTTAACCGCAAAAGCATAATCCACAGAAGAAAAAAATTCATAAATTGGATTCCAGCACATTTCAGAACCTACTGAAAGAATGAAAAGACAAGCTACAAACTAATAGAAAATATTCATAAACGCTTTGTCTTACAAAAGACTAGTGTTTAGAATAAACAACTCTCAAAACTTAACACTAAAAAATGCAATTAGAAAATAGGCAAATGAGGTGAGCAGATACATCACTCAAGAGAATTCAAAAATGGGAAAACACTGCTAATGAAATTGGAAATAAAAACACAGTGGAGATGTCATTAAACACCTATCAGAATGATTAAAACAAAAAGTCATGACGGCCCCAAATGCTGACAAGGATATGGAAACACGGGGTTATTCATATACTACTGTATGAATAGTACTGTAAAATGTTACAGTCACTCAAGATCAGTTTAATAACTTTTTAAAATACTGGAAATACAACTGCCATATTATTAGCAATTGCACACCTCTACTTTAGCCAGAGAAAACTCATATTCATATGAAAACCTACACATGGACAGTTTTGGCTACTTTACTTCTAATAGCCTAAAGTTTAGCTGTCAATGGGTAAATACTTTTACAAAATCTGGTGTGTTTATGCCATACAATACTATTAAGCAGTAAAAAATTAATAGACTATGGATATATGCAACAATTCCAGAGAATTGTGCTAAGTGAAAACAAAAGAAATCCCTGGACTACCTACTACATGATTTGTAAAACCTTCTTGAAATGACAAAATGATAGAATTCAAGAACAGATTAGTGATTGACAGAAGCTAAAAATGGGGTAGAGAGGAATTGGGGAAAAGAAGGAAGTTTGGCTACAAAAGAACAATGTAAGAACCCTTGTAGTGATGAAAATTTTTTTGTGTGTTGACTCTCACTATGTCAATAACTTGATTGTACTATTGTAATACTATTCTGCAAGATATTACCATTGGGAGAAAAGGAGCAAGGATACATGGAGTTTCTCTGTATTATTTCTTACATCTGCATGTTAATCTACATCTTAGAATGTTTGGCTTTATATACTTGTGTGTTTGTGTATGTATACAATACAAGCACAAGTTTATTTTATATGCACATACAATTATGTGTACACACAATGTGTCGATAACACAACACGTTCTGTGAGGTGTGTTGTCATTAGGCAATTTCATCATTGTGTGAACATATAAAGTGTAATTATACAACCAAGATTGTGTGTGTCAATCACTCAATATGAACTCGATACAATCAAGATAGGAGGTAAATCCAAGATGTATGAGGCTGCTGCTCGAGTAACATGGCATGCTGTTCTTATGTAGGTAGAAGAAATACATTCTAAAATACTGGTTAAAAGCACAGTACTGTAAATATATAAAAACAGTAATGTTTTACTATTTAGTAACCACTACTACTAGCAATTTATTACTATTTATGTGTTATGTATACAGTATTATGTGCTGTGCAAAATTGTATTTGCTATACTTTTCATATGACTGGCAGTGCAGATTTGTTTACACCAGTATCACAAGTGCAGGAATAATGTGTTGTGCTATGACATTACAATGACTATGACTTTATTAAGAGATAGGAATTTTTCAACTCTATTTTAATCATGGGATCGGTATCATATATGTCATCTGTTTTTGTCCAAAATACATCATTATGCTGTATCTCTCTCTCTATTTTTTTCTGTGTCTTGACTGTCTCTATGTCAATATCTTGATTGTACTATTGTAATACTATTCTGCAAGATATTACCGTTGGGAGAAAAGGAGCAAGGGTACATGGAGTTTCTGTGTATTATTTTTTACATCTGCATGTTAATCTAACATCCACATATTAATCTGCATCTACTTCAAGTTCAGTTACAAAAATGAAAGCTATGGCAGATATTTTCCTTACTATTTATGTATGTGCATATATGTATCTATGTATGTTCTCATGTTATTAAGGTGTTTTCAGTCAGTCCCAAATCTACCTTTCTCTATGCTTTGTGCTTCTGGGATTAGAACTCCACAAACCACACATTTCTACTGATTCAGCTTCTTCTCTCTAAAGTTCCAACATATCAAGCAACAAAGAAAACCTAAAGGACTGGAGGAGAATAAAGAGTCTTCCACCTTCTCACTTGCTTCTTCTGGGCTTCCGCTGTGTTAAATATCCCTCTAATCGTCATACAATAACGTGTCTTCTTCATTTAAGAGCAGAATGGACATGCAATAGCAGCAGCTGACTCCAATCTGAATTTTCCCAATACTTGCAAAACTAGCTGTATTGAACAGGTGTCGGGAAACTTTTGCTACAAAGGACCAGACAGTAAATATTTGAAGCTTTGTAAGTCATATATTCATTCTTATAGCAACTACTAAATTCTGCCTTTGGAACAACACTAGAGACAATATTTAAATGAATGAGTGGCAAGTATAATTTTACTTATGGATACTGACATTTGAATGTCATATAATTTTCAGGAGTATTGAACATTGTTACTGTTATGGGTAGACTTGCATCTCCCAGAAACATATTTTGCAGTTCTACCCCCTTGTACCTGTGAATGTGACCTTTTGGAAACAAGATCTTTGCACATATAATCAAGTAAGATGAGGTCATGAGGGCGGCCCTAATTCAATACAACTGCTGTCTTCATACAAACAGGAAAATATCACTTAAAGCCATGAGCACAGAGAGGAGAATATGATGTGAAAATGGAAGCAGAGGTTGAAAGTGACACAGCCGTGAACACAGGGATGCCCAGGACTGAGAGCCCTCACCAGAAGCCAGCAAAGGAGGATTCACATTCAATCTCAGGAGAAGCATGGCCCTCCTGACTACTAGAATTTGAACTTTTAGCCTCTGGAGATGTAAGAAAATAAATTTCTGTTGTTCTAAGCCATCTAGTTTGTAGTGCTTTGTTATGGTATTGGTAGGAAACATACAACATTCTTTAGATTATTTTCAACCATTTAAAAATGTAAAAGCCATTCTTAACTTACTGGCCATACCCAACACAGGCTGGAGTTGGCCTATGAGCTGTGGTATACAGAATCCTATCTGTCATTGAGCCTCTCTCCTCCCTACCTGATTATTGCTAAGATATCAATGCCAGCCAAGCATTGCCCCCCCTAAAGTCAGACTTTTATCTCCTCACTACTAAACTAATTATTCCAATTTCCTCCCCTTTCCTTCCATCAATAGCTTAATGGCTACTTATATTATATTTTCCTGTACTTTTTCTTCTTCAGCTGCCTAGTTGACAACTATATATGTAGTTAACAACTATTTTTTTTTATAAAATTCTCTGAGTTGGGATAATTGTGTGTTTTTTTCTTCTCATTTTCTAACTGCCATCATTTCCTTTCTTAAAATTTTTTCAGGATTTTGTACAAAATATACTGACCTTTGGATGTCTTGGTAATTACTACATTTAATTTTAGGTAATTAAGACAATTGTTTACAGAGTCGGAACTTCTGACATAAAAGTTGTATACTTTGACACAAACTTTTATTAATAATCATTCTTGTTTTAATAGATTTGTTCTCCCTGAGAATTTCTAAGTACTTTAGAATCATGTTACCTTGAAGGTATAATCAAGGCTGCTAGTGTCTTACAAAGTTAAATATATATCTGCCTTTGACTGGGCAATTCCAT